GGGATTGCTGGATCATATGGTAGTTCTATTTTTAGTTTTTTGAGGAACCCACCCTGTTTTCCATATTGACTTTACTAATTCATATTCCCACCAATAGTGTAAGAAGGTTCCCCTTTCTCCACATTCTTGGTAGCATCTGTTATTGTTTGTCTTTTTTGATATAAGCCATTTTAACTGGGGTGAGATGATATTGCATTATGGTTTTGATTTTCATTTCTAAAATGATTAGTGATGTTGAACATTTTTTCATATACCTGTTCCTCATTTATATGTCTTCTTTTGAGAAATGTCTGTTCAGATCTTTTGCCCATTTTTTAATTAGATTATTTGTCTTTTTGCTATCAAGTTGTTTGAGATCTTTATATATTCTGGTAATTAATTCCTTGTCAGATGAGTAGTTTGCAAATATATTCTCCCTTTATGGGTTGTCTCTTCACTTTGTTCATTGTTTCCTTTGCTATGCAGAAGCTTTTTAGCTTGATGTGATTCCAGTTGTCTATTATTGCTTTGGTTGCCTGTGCTTTTGAGATCTTACACAAAAAATCTTTGCTAAGATAAATGTCTTGGAGCATTTCACCAATGTTTTCTTCTAGTAGTTTCATAAGATTCTTCATGATCGCAGTTGTTATATCTTCTTTTTATTTTCTGATTTTATTTATTTGGGTCATCTCTCATTTTTTCTTAGTCTAGCTAAAAGTTTGCTAATTTTATCTTTTAAAAAAAAACAATCTTTTGTTTCATTAATATTCTGTATTTTTTTTTAAGTCTCATTTATTTCTGCTTTTGTCTTTATTATTTCTTTCCTTCTACAAATTTTGAGTTTGCTTTGTTTTTGCTTCTCTAGTTCCTTGAGGTGCATTGTTAGGTTGTTTATTTGAAGTTTTACTTTTTTTTTTTTGATGTAGGTGTTTATTGCTATAAAGTTTCTTCTTAGTACTGCTTTTGCAGTATCCCATGTGTTCTGGTATGTTGTGTTTCCATTTTCATATGTTTCAAGAAATTTTAAAATTTCCTTCTTAATTTATTTATTGGTCATTCTGGAGCATGCTGGAGCATTCTGGAGTATGCTGCTTAATTTCCATGTGTTTGTGTATTTTCTGAGGTTCCTCTTGTTATTGATTTCTAGTTTTATTCCACTGTGGTCAGAAAAGATACTTGATATGACTTATACTTTTTTGAATTTGTTGAGTCTTGTTTTATGGCTGGTAAAGCGTCGTTTCTGGGTGTGTCTGTGAGAGTGTTTCCAGAGGAGACTGACTTGGGAGATAGTGTACTGAGCAAGGAAGACCTGCCCTCAATGTGGGTGGGCACCATCCAATGGTGGGCTGGGGGCCTGGCTGAGAAAAACATGAGGAAGAAGGGACATTGTCTCTCTGTCTCTCTGTCTCTCTCTCTCTCTCTGTTTTCTCTCTCCCTTATGGAGCAGCACACCTTTTATCCTCTTGTCCTTGGACATCAGACTCTAGGTTCTTTGGCTTTTGGGCTCTGGGACTTGTACCAGTGGCCTCTTGGGGGCTCTTAAGCCTTCAGCCTCAGATTGAGGGCTTCACTGTAGGTTGTTTATAAGGCTTCTGGACTTGGACTGAGCCAGACTACTAGCTTCTCTGGTTCTTCAGCTCGCAGACAGCCTATAATGGGACTTCTCTGTCTCTGTGATCATGTGAGCCAGGTCCCCTAATATCCCCTTTCCTATATCCTATTGGTCTGTCTCTGGAGAACCCTGACTAATACCGTCACGTATCCCTCCTTCAGGGAAAACAAAACAAACAAAAACAATACCTCGTGTGACTCTATAGTTCTTTCTTCTCATCATCCTATTTCTTTTTTTCCATTTACTGTTAAAATTGAATAAATGGTCTGTCTGTACTTTTTATCTTCATTTGTTTGCTGCTCAGTAACTCTTAATCCCATGAAATCTGGCTTCTGCTTCTACTACTTTACTAAAACACTCTCTTTCTCTCTTTTTTGTAGAAACAAAACACGTTATATCAGACCACTAGTTGTCCCTGGCATTCCTCTCTCCTTCTTCCTTTTATGAAACTTCCCCCAAGTTTCAGCTGGGTGTATGGAGTCTCAACTAGGGACAATATTTTCCAGCCTCCCCTTCAGCTGGGTGTGAGCATTTGGCCAGGAGTTGGAGGCAAAGTTTTGGCTTTCCTAAAGCTAACTGCCTGTCCTGTCCTTCCTCTTTTGTTCTCACTGCTTGTTGGAAGTGGTCTTAGTCTGTTTTGTTTTGCTATAATAGAATACCCCAGACCGTGTAATTTGCAAACATTAGATGTTTTTTTCAGCTCATGTTTTTGGAGACTGGTAAGTCCAAAATGGAGGGGCTGCATCTGACAAGGGCCTTCTTGCTGTGTCATCACGTGGTGGAAGGCATCATATGAGAGAGAGTGCATGAGAGAGGGCAAGAGGGGGCTGAGCTCACTTTTAAAACAAACCCACTCTCGAGATAACAACATTAATCCATTCACGATGGCAGACCCTCATGACCCAGACACCTCCCATTGGGCCCCACCTCCCAACACCGTCACATTGTGGATGAAGTTTCCCACACGTGAACTTTGGGGGATGTACTCAAACCATAGCAGACTCAGTCTTGGAACTTGGCGTGAGGACGGCAGACTGGCATGCTGTGTATCCTGCTCTGCCAGCCCTGGACTAATCACCTCTGGATTTTTACATGAGAGAGAAATAAGCTTACACTGTATTTTCATCATTCTATTTTGGGATCCCTTTGTTATAGCAGCTTAGCAAGTATCCTAATAAACTCCTTTATTTCTTATTTTAAAAAATCATATGCAGTCATGGTAGAAACTTAACTTCATAAGTAGAAAGATGACAACACAAACAATTCCTGTTGATCTCTTACTTTGCTCATTAACTATTCTCAGTAGCCTGTGTTTATCTGTCTCCTTTTCTTTCTCCTACCTACAAGCTTGGGCATACCCCAGAACTAGGTTATCTGCACTTTTGTCTTTTATCTCTCTACATTCTATCACAGGACTTGATTTATATGGTGATTGATCTCATCATTAGTTTGTTCACTCATTCAAAAATATCTGGTGAGAACCTACCTGCTGCTAAGTGCTGGGGATACAACAATAAATCAGATCTGGCTTCTGCCCCAAGGAGCTCACAGACTGGAGAGGAGAGGGGAAGGCAGATAAAAACAAGTCTAAGGTGCTGAGTGCTTTGATGGAGCACTGACGTGGGATTATGGTGAAGGGCACCTAAGTGGCTTGATGGGGGTGAGTATCTATGAAGGACCCCAGAAAAGGTGAACTGGGAGCAGGGGAGGCAGAAAGGAGGATTAATGAGGGGAAAAGGGGGGAGGGATTTCAAGCCAAGAAGTCAGCCAGGAATGAAAAACCTGATGTGAGAACTTGCAGGGCACTGCTGGCAGTATTGTGTTGACACTAGAAGTACAAAGCAGGGGTGTTGAGAGCGCTTCTGTCAAGGGACAAAGGGGTGAGTGAGGTCATGCAGTCTTTGCTTATCATCCTAAGGAGGCTCACACCCTCTCCTGATTGAGGCTTTAATGAAGAGAATTGACCAGAATTGTGAGAGTGTCAGATCTACCTATGCATAGAGTATTGTGTGTGGCTGGGGGAAGGATAGATTTCTGGGAGGTAGCAAGGGTGAGAACAGGGAACCAGTGTGGAGGCTATTTGCAATGGAGTAGTTAAGAGGTAGTGACAGCTGGATCCAAGGTGTTGGCAGTGAGAATAAAGAAAGAAAAAAGTTGGGGAAATATTTAGGAAATAAAATGGGTGTGACTTGGTGACTGAAGAGGAAATAAGAGGAAGGCTGAGAGATGACTCCTGGGGTTCTGGATTGGGTGGCTGTCATGGTGAAGGTGACAACATTACTGGTTTGGCTATCACCTGCTCATGAGGTGGTTTCTTTCTCTCTCTTTTTTTTTAAAACAGAGTCTCACTCTGTTGCCTGGCTAGAATGCTGTGGCATCAGCCTAGCTCACAGCAACCTCAAACTCCTGGGCTCAGGTGATCCTCCTGCCTCGGCCTCCTGAGTAGCTGTGACTATAGGCATGTGCCACCATGCCTGGCTAATTCTTTTCTATATATTTTTAGTTGTCCAATTAATTTCTTTCTATAATTTTAGTAGAGACGGGGTCTCACTCTTGCTCAGAGCTGGTTTAGAACTCCTGACCTTGAGCAATCCTCCCACCTTGGCCTCCCAGAGTGCTAGGATTGCAGGCATGAGCCACCACACCGGGCCAAGGTGGTTTCTTGCAAAGGTAAGGAAGCTTAACTTTCAGGCCCCTCCTTGCATGAATCCATTGAAAGGCTCTGGGCGGGGCCTGAGCAATTTTGTAAACTTGTCTGTATTTTTTTTCTTAAAGATGGCCCACACCCTCTTTAAGGTGGTGATAGCTTCAGACACGCAGAGCCTGAATCCATTCCTGCCCATCCCCTTGCAATTCATCCTTCTTGTTACCAGTAGACTAATCTCCCTAAAAATAAAATGTTGACATGTCAATCCTCTCCTCAAAAGCTACTGTCATCATGACAATGGGCCTTTTTCAACTTGACAATTTTACTTCAGAGTTTCCCTTTACTTCCTCTCTATAAAATTCATTTCCCAACAAATGTTTATGGTTTCAGAAAAGTAGCTTTGACCTGACTGTCAAAGAACAGGGAGGTCACTTACCAATGTTTAAAGTCTGTGGCTCTTAAATCTACCTACCAATAGAGCTGCTGGAGTTGCAATGACTCTGTTGAACTTTCTTGTTTACCACCCACTGTCTTGCTTTGTTTTTATGCCACTTGTGGCTTTTCTACTTTAAAACACTTGTCTGATCTCAGACTTGGCCATTCAGCGTGAGTACCATTTGGGATGCTTGGTACCTGCAGAAACTGTGTGGCATATGTGAATATCGCTCTTTATTATGGCCACGGGGCACATTAAGCACGTGACTGCACTTTAGAAATCTGTTTTTGATCGTGCTCGGTTCAAAGGCAATTTGCATTCTAGAATGTACATTCTGAATACAGACCTTTGACCACTCAATAGTTCCAATATCTGGAATATAATGTGCTGCTGTCTGCAGTGACAGAGATGTTCTGGACTGTTCTTTCATCTGAAGGAAGAGTTGTCTTTATTGTTCGCCACATTGACGCCTGATAAATGACTTCTGAGGATTTTCCCGCTGTCTGAGCAGCTGCTCTTCCATGTATGAAAAATCTAATTTTACTTTCTAAGCTTTTTTTCCTATAATGTCTCATCTGCTTCAACAGATTCTCACTCAGACACACTAAAATGGGACTCATAATATCAATTTATTATTATATTTTAGCAATCTCAATAAACAAGGCAGTCTCATTATGTTCTTTTTTCTTTAGGGAGAAGGCAGGCCTAGATGCTTTCTAAAAAAGAACACTGTGTGCAACCTCATGTTACAAAAAATGCAACTTGGTTAAATTTTCATTGATAGTCCTTCAGTCGAGGATGGCTTATGACGAGAAAAGTTGTTATATAAATAAAATAGAATTTTACTATTAGAAGACACTTCTGAGCCAGAGAGCACGGTGCTGATACTGCAACCAGATCTTTCTCATTTCCCCTTTCCCCAGCTTCTTCCCACTTCTCCAGCCTCTCCACTTCTGTTTCATGTTGGCAGGTACAAATCAGAGGTGTGGGAAGTTGATGTCACCTGCAGAGCCCCAAGGACTTCTCTTGGATAAAGGGACTTGCTGCTTTGCACCATCAGTCCACAGGGGGAGTCATGAGCCAAAGAAAGGAAAAAATTATAATCCTAAACAATATTGAACAGATGCACCCTGGGGCAGGTGGGGGATTTGGGAGTTCAATTCTTTTTTTTGGAAAATACTATTTTCTATATTGTAATTCCTTTCTGTCATCCCAAGCCTTCTGATCTTTGTGGGGTTTTGGGGAATTCAGGGCTGAACGTGTGTCAGTGCTTAGAGTAAAGCAGACAGGGCAGCCTGGCAGCCACCTGGGGGAGTGGTCAGTCATGAGCTGGCCCACAGTGGGTGGCGTGCTGAAGGCCAGAGCCGCAGCCTGGTCCATGCTGCTCCCCGAGAGACAAGCAGCAGCCAGGACAGATGTGCAGGGCAGGCGAGCATTCCTTGATGATTTTCAGAAGTACCTAGGAAGGAAAACCTGAAACCCCTTTTTTGTCTCGTATGAGTCATGAGCTCTGATCCTTGTTGCCATTCGGGCCACTAGAGAAGTGTTTTATATCTGGTCTACCCAGAATAAAACCTGATGAGCCCATGTCTAGGAATGGGGCTAATTCCCTGCCTCCCTTCCATGTGCACATTCATGCCTCGCTACCTTTCATCTGCTCCTGTCTCTGTTCTATTTGGGGTTGACTACTTGGGAGGGGACAGACTGGGCAAAAGGGAGCCAAGAGGATCACCTGTCTGCAGTTTTATATCTGTGCCCTGCCACTCTCTAAGTAGCAGCTCTGGGTACTCAGGTAGCCTGGAATAGAAGATTCTCCCAGCATCCTGTTTCACATAGGTCAGCCTCATGATAATAGATAGAGATGCCCCCCAGAGCCCAGTGGGGGTGGAAGGACTACTTCTCAGAGCTCCTTCAGCTTAATGTTTTCTATAATTAGTCCTTGAGATGGATGGATGGAACTTGTTAACTTACCTCTTTTCTTTCTCCCTCTTTCTTCTCTCATTCTTCCTTTCCTCCCACCTTCTTTCCTCCGATGTCCTTGATCCTAGAACATTATCTGCTCATTATTTTTCAAGCTGTGTTGCTGCTTCTACCAGTGTTCTGTGTTCCCTGTTGTGGCCAGCAATCTGCTTCCATCATTGGTGGCTTGGAGGGCACAAAGGGAGTTAAGCAAGCTAAAGGCTAAGCTAGGAGGTTACTGCTTAGAACTTTTGGCCTAGAAATTATTATAGGAGATACATAACATTGTTTTAACTATATGTCATATTATATATTTGGAATTACGATTGATTAATCTCAACATATAAATGGGTGGCAACAAAATTCAAGTTGATAATTCGTCCCAGGACTTTTTCCTCCTCTTTGCGAAACAGGACTCCAGTACTACTTACGGAGTCCACTCTCCTATCTATGTAGGAGAACAAAATGACATGCGCATGTGAATCAGTGTGGAGTGTTTTAGGTGAAATCACCTAGAAGCCAGGTCATGGATGATGTGCGATCATTTATCTTTAGACTCACAGCTGTGGTTCACCCTTCCACCAGCCATTCCTCACGTCCATGCCGGCCTCCTTCCATCGTGTTGTAATAAAGGGAGGGAAGAATCCAGGGCAGTAGGAAACTCCCTTGTCCCAACCTCCATAATCTCTTTCTATACTTTATGCATTTATGACCAAAGGTCATAGAGGTTACCTCCCTCTGCCTAAATGGGTAGAAGTAGAAAGGTCACAGTTATGAAAGTACTTGAATTAAGAAAGGAAAGGAACTACCAAGTTTCCTGTCTATTCATTATGAGTTATCTGAGGCCTCAGTTCTTAGAAAGCAAGCATCTCCATGTTCTGACCCGATATAGATGTACTTGTTCATAAATATTTTATTCATTTGGGTGTCCTCCACATCCTAAGTGCTCAGTAAATATTTACTAAACAACAAGTGGTTCTTGCTGTCTATAATAGTGTTGCGTTGGAGGTATGAGGACAATTTAATGCTAAGAGATATTAGTCATCAGGCCAGCCATTTAGCCATGTCCTCCTATGCCTACTCCTGTAATTACATGATAAATACACAAGCATGAAAGCCCATGGACTTTTTACAGCCAATTTTTTCATATCCATTTGTTTTGACCATCAAAAATCAGTTACTACTGTGTACTAGGCATTGTGACTGTAAATGGTACTTTGCATATATTCTTTGTAATTCTCGCAATAGTGCAATAAGAAATTATCTTCATTTTTCATTCATGTATTGGTTCATTCAACAACCGTGCATCAGGCTCTGTGTTAGATGCTAAGGACTCAACAGGGAACAAGACAGACAAGATCTCAACCTTCATGGTGCTTAGAAGCCGAGGCTTAAAGAAGTAACTTGTAGTTAGGGGACACACCAAGGGCACAAGCCAGGATTTGAATCTAATTCCAAAACTCATGCTGCCTCTGGAAAATAGTGATAATCAGTTACAAAGAACCTTCTAGGTGCCAATCTTTTACAACTTGGCTCATTTTTAAACCTTTAAACCAATTCCACATGTTAAAGTGTTATTAAGTATTTACAAAATCTAGGCTTTCTTGGTTCTAAAAAAAAAAAAAAAGTATTTACAAATGAGGAAATGGGAATCTGAGAGGTTAAATAACTTACCCGGGATCACAAACTAGTAGACACAGGGCCCAGATCTGGCTGGTGTGTCAGCCCAGCTCCAGACCCATGCTGCTTCCACTTGGTGACACTGCTGGCTGGTGGCACAGCGGAAAAGAGGCAGGTCCACAGGCCTTGCGCTGTCGGAGCAGGTGAGAGAAGTAAAATACAATTACAGTACGAAGCAGAATATAAAATAAGGCCACAAAAAGAATATAAACAAACTACTCTGGGGTTGAGGAGGGATTATTTTAGCCTAAGGAGTCTTTGAAAACAGAGGACAAGGGAGAGTGCTCTGTTTAATAACTCTACAGGATATCATCTTTCAAGTAGGAAGTGACCTATTATTCAGAATGAAAGCACAATATAAATAGAAGTTAGGATTATTTCATTTCCCTAATCTTTTTTCCTCAACGAGTATTATATGTTTATTGAATGAATCTATAGTATACATATTCATTATATAAAATTTATTGAATGGCTGAATGGATATAGCACTGTAAGACATTTCAATTGCAAAGATGTTAAAATGTTAAAATGTGTGGGTCTTAGAATCAACTAGATATAGTTCTTATTTATTTCTTTTTTCTTTTTTTTTATTTCATCATTGTTCTTATTTTTTTTTTAATTGATAAGAGTATGTCTTGCTCTGTTCAAGGTATTTTAATTAGTGAAAGTATTGAAGCATCATAGTCAAATCTCACTTTCACTGGAGTCTGAGTGGGGCTGCTGTGTACAGTTGTATATTTTGTGAACTGAACAAAGCTACCCAGCTGAGGGGGTAGGAAGGGCTTGAAATCTAGCCTGCGTTCCTCATGCCGAACAATGCTCCCCATTGTAGGACTGCCTCACTCCCACCAAGAGGAAGGGCATCTAGGAAAGAGCCTTTTAAAAATCTGTGTGAATTAGATGAGATTTTCTATGGCCCAGCGGTGGCCCTGGGGTCCCACAGCAAGTGCGATGACAAAGGTGGTGTGGCAGCCAGGGTGTAGTGTACTTAATAGGGCAACATACTTTTTACATGTCCATTACAGATCTTAAAAAACGGTAGAAGTTATTAAATTCTAAATTATATTTACAATCAACTCAGTAAATAAGTGTCACAACATCAATGCAAAACCTGTTAATGAAAAATTTTATGGATTCCATGTTATTACACAAAGACACACATGGGATAAAATTAAATGACTTGAATTTTCAACTATACAACATTATTTGCATATATCTTCAGGGGTTTCAAAGACCATCTAAATCCTATTTTTGAGGATTTTTGGAACTCAGGTTAGCACACCCATACTGTTAAAAAAGAATTGGATACTAAACAAATATAAACATGTGGTCAAAACCACTCACTTTCCATAGACATTGAAAAGGTCACTTGCAGTTTGGCTCATACATGATTGTGTATTACCTGGTTACTGAGTAACACATTTTGGAAATGTTCAATTATTTTCGAATCACCCTGTATTATTTAACAGCTTGTTCTGAAAGCTTTCAAATGCCAACTCAGCACTCCTAGTCTTGGATGCTATTGGGTCACAACTAAGTATTTATTAGGCTCATGTTGTAGTTATAGATTAGATTAATGGTGAAGAGAATAATACTTTATTGGATGGCAATAATTTCAGATTTCAACAAGTGATAGTGGCATTACCTCTCTACCTCAACACTGCCTCAAAACCAGCTCCAACATATAACCTCCTGCAGATCCAGAGCATCTCTGAGAGCATCAGAGTTGTCATAGTGACCAGCAAATTATGAGCCACCCCAGGGCTTATTCTCGTAGAAAGTGAAGTTTCCCAGGACAGTGAGTCATTATTAAAGCAGAGAGAACCTCTACATGGTTCCCTCATTAGATCAGCCAGCGTTTGACTGTAAAACATGGATCTGACAATGTGGTTATTATCGCTAGCCAGAGGCTGTCTTCAATTTCACAGGCTGTATCATGAAACTGTCATGTTAAGTGTTTCTTTTTCTTGCCGAATGCCATCTTTAAGGAATATTATTTCACTGGAGAGTTTGCAGAGACAAGACTGACTTGGAGTTTACCATTCCAAAACTGAGCCAGAGGAAATTTGCTACAGGAGTACATATGCTGTATGGATATGAGTTTGTGTGCACTAGTTCACTGGCAGGAAATGCCACACGATCTGACTGCAACCACACACATGGACTCCATAAGCCAGTATAAATTAAAGTTGACCTTAACAGCAATATATTTATCTGTTCAGTTTAAATAAAAGCTTTATAAAGCTTTATAAAGTTTTAATTGGCTCTTATTAATATGAGCATTCATACTTCAATACATCATTAATTTTAAAATGTTTTATTTGTATTTTACTCTCTATCAGTATTTTTCTTCTCAAAGGTACCAAATAATATTGACTGATTAAAGTAGATAATTTTTCTTTAAATTTTTTCCTTTTTAAGAAAGGGGAATATTTGTTCAAAGAAGACATGTCTTAACCATGAATAAAAGCTGAATGCAACAAATGCAGTATGAGATCACCAAAGCACATACATGCCAAGCATTGTGTCTACCACCCAGAGCAGCAGGAATGAATGTGATTATAGGGGGATTCGTATGTTAGGGATACTTATTATCAATTGGTGGCAGTTTTTCTTATCTTACACAATGATGATCTATAAATATTAGTTGACATTTTATTCATTCAGCAAATATTTGTTGAGTGCCTGGTCTGTGCCAGTCATGGGGTTGGATGTTTGAGATACAAAAATGAGTAAGGCAGAACCTCTGTGTGCTATATTCTGTCCCAGTTTGTCAGTGTTTAATAAAAGAGGCAAAAGGCATGAAGGAGGGAATAATCAGTTCTAGCTACAGGGTGACCATAAAGCCTGGAAATGCAGACATATTGTTTCATCCTGTATTGTAGTATGATAACAACAAACCACTTGTTATGTATTTGCCTGTGTTTCTAAACTTAGTGTTAACTTATGAAAGGGTCAGGAAAGACCCTAAAGGAAAAGATACTTGATTTGGGTCTTTAATGTCAAAACATATTCATCAGATTTTGGGAAAGGGCCTAGAAAGACATTCCTGGTTTAAGGAAAGTTCTGGGGAACTGTAAGCAATCTTGCTTAGTTGGAATGTAGGATAAGATGAAGCTGAATACGTACATAGGAGCCAGGGTTCAGAGGTTTTGTAAATTGTGCCAGAGTATGGATTTTATTCTATAGGCAGTCAGGAGCCAATAAAGGTTAAGAGCCAAGGAGTAAATGTGATCATTCAATCAAAACATGTTTATGGAGTATCTACTACTTCTCAGGCCAGTGCTAGGGGCTGGGTTACAAAGACGAATTAGATATAAGGAATTCAAAGCCTAATGAAGAAAAATATAAACAAGTTAGTGTCGTGAAAATCATAGATTTTCAATAATAAAAATAATAGCTTACATTTATTATTTACCATGTGCCAGGTGGGTGCTAACATGTATTATGTTACTTCATTCTCCCATCAACCCTAAGAAGGACTGTTGGCTAGTGGCATTTTATAGAAGAGGAATCTGAAGTATAGAGATCCAATAACTTGCCTCTGTAAGTACAGCCAGGGTTCAAATCCTAATGGCCTGACTCCAGGAAATTCACCTTTTTACCACCAAGGGCGATGCTACTTCACCATGACAGCAATCTCTCCAGAGCATCATGGCCACACTGAAGAGGACAGTCCATTCTGCGGGGATGGAGGTGGTGGTTGGAATTCTTCATGGAGATGGTGATGAGATTTGCCTTAAGGAAGATTGTCCTAGGATCTAGGCATGACTAGAAGAGGGAAAGTGAGCTAGGAAGCAAAGTAATACTTGCAGTAACAGTGGGAAGGAGAGGAGGCCGGGCGCGGTGGCTCACGCCTGTAATCCTAGCTCTCTGGGAGGCCAAGGCAGGCGGATTGCTCAAGGTCAGGAGTTCGAAATCAGCCTGAGCAAGAGTGAGACCCCATCTCTACTATAAATAGAAAGAAATTAATTGGCCAACTAACATATATATAGAAAAAATTAGCCAGGCATTGTGGCACATGCCTATAGTCCCAGCTACTCAGGAGGCTGAGGCAGGAGGATTGCTTGAGCCCAGGAGTTTGAGGTTACTGTGAGCTAGGCTGACACCACGGCATTCACTTTTAGTCTGGGCAACAAAGCAAGACTCTGTCAAAAAAAAACAAAAAAAAACAAAAAACAGTGGGAAGGAGAGGAGAGGATACAGTCTAGAGGTATTTCAGATGTGAAATGGTTTAGTGTGCTGAATGAGCTTAGGTTTCTGGTTTGGAGGTTGAAAGGATAGTAGAGCCATGAACCATGACTCATAATGCCAAAGGAGAAACAGGTAGGAATGCCTAGGGGTAGAGTGGATAAATTTTTCCTTTATTGAATTTGAGGAGTCTGTGGGATAGTAAATAAAGTCAGTGATTGAATATAGGCTTCTGGAGTTTAAGATAAGTATAAAAGCTAGAGATTGTATTGAATGTCATCTTTGAAGAGTTTCAAACTAATATATTAGTTAATTGCTTATATCTAAGAATCAAATCATAACTATAGAACCCATGCCCCCCAAAATGGGGCTAAATGTAAAACATGAATAGTAGCATAAGAAAGAAAATAGTGAAGCTGGCAAAGTGTACTACCTCATTTAAAAACAAGCATGTAGGCAGATTTTCCAGCTTACAGGGCATTGATGGTGGTGTTGAAGCACTGTGTATACCTTTGTGGGAAAAATACAGGTGGTGGGGAGAGGTAGATTAAGGTAAACAGGTAGAATTTGGGAGAACAAGGGTGGAGAAAGAATATTCCTAGATGTTGCCTTAAGCATATATGAGCTATAAGTAAAAAAGTTGTTGGTTTATTTCCTATTTTGAGAGTTCCTTGATCAGCCTGGGACTTCTTAAAATAGCATTCTAAGGAACAGAATTAGGAGTCAAAAGCAAATTTGTTTGAATGGATGCATGAATAGAAATAATTTGGGATTAGAAGATACCTCTTTACAAAAAAAGACTAGGCTATGAAAATCAGGCCAGCAAATAAACAACCTCCAAAAAAATAACCATCATGACCTATATACGTAAAGTCAAATTAACCCTATTATTGTGTAGGTGGAGTATTTCTTATTTCCTCAGCCTTTGGAATATAGAGAAGGTACCATTGCTCACCCATCATGACAACACTTGTTTGGAAGGAAAACTACCATTCATGAATCATGAATGATGAAAGTTAGCAACCTGGAATACCATTGAGAGAAAAATTGATTCCTCCCACTGACAGATGTTTCAGTAAAAAAAAAAAATTCAGATGCCAATTAATAACAACAACAAAAACAATAAAAACAACAAACATTCCCATTAAGGACCATTAAGGGAAATGAAAACTCTTAATCAGGAATGTCAAAGATGGAGAAAGAAGAGAGTGAAAAAAGTCCTCAAAACAGTCATCCACAATAATCATTGGCATGGAGGGAAGGAAATTCTCCAAATAAAGAGTTTTAACAGGGTGTCCTTGGATTGAAATCTGTGGAGGTGGAATGAAGTGGGCAGTGGCCCTATGTTGCTACATTCTATGTACAAAACAGCAGATGATAAGAGTGAGTATTTCAAAGACATTTTCTTTCTTGAAACATATGGGACTTTTAAGAGTGGTAGGGGAAGAGTTGGGGGATTATTTTTATCCAACTCATTTCTGAATACATATAAGAATGTTAGAAATTGCCAAATGGTGCCATCATTTTCCAGAAATTTTTAGATATGACAGCATCAGTTGAGATGCTTTCAGGCCCAAGTCACAGAAATCTCCAGTTAAAATTGATTTAAATATTAAGAGCATTTATTACATCACCTAAGTGGTCTAGAGGTGGTGGGTGGTGCCTGTTGTTTAATTCAGTGACTCAAAAACCTCATCCATGTTCTTTAACCCTTCTCTTTGCCATTCCTAGTGTTAGTTTTGTTGGCCCTTATGGTCACAAATAACAACAATAGAGAAAGACAAGACCATCTCTTCATTTGTAATTTTCTTGGGAAGGAGGAATCCTTCCCCCAAACCTTCAACCCTTACATTTCATTGATAGAATTGTATTGCATGCCTAAGACTGAAGCAACCATTTATAAGAGGAATCAATCCTGACCCAACCCCTGGAGCTGAGGTTAGGTCCAGCCTTCCCTGAAGCACATGGACCCTCAAAGGAGGTTGGAAATCTGAACAAAATTGGGGTTTTGAGAATGAGTAAGAGGGGTAAGATGGATCTGGGATAGGTAATTAACAGTGTCTGCAACAAATTAATTACAAAGCCTTTCTTGAATGGAATGAAAATATATTTACTAAATAGTTCTAATTTTACTAATTTACTAAATATTAAAAGATAAATCTCTTAGCAGTCTTGGCAATTTGTTCAATAGCTAGTTTTCTCTCTTGTTGTTTGCCAAACAATTACAATAATTGTAATTTTAGAACCATTTAATATAAATATTTCAGTGTAATACACCTGCTATGGTCAGTTATGCTGGGCTTAGGTTTTTAAAGTGTCTTTTCAGAATTTTTTTGGCTGGATTGGTTCACAAAATCTATTACTAATGACGAATGAAATTTGGTAGTTCACTCATTCTCCATAATTTAGAAATATGCTAACATGCCTCCAAAGTGTTGGAGAATCTGTTCCTACTTCCTACTGCCTTTTCTCTGAGAGTAAAAGATAGGCTTTTTCAGTCTCATTTGCAAAGTCTGGATAGTTTTCTGGAACTCCAAGAGATACTAGATCAAGAAAACAGGGGAGTGCAGAAATGATCAACTACTCTGGCTTACAGAAAATAGAAATTGACTTGACTTAAGCATAAAGAATTTATTTCAAAAGTCCAGGAGTTGCCAGGCTCAGTGTCTCAAGCCTGTGCTCCCAGCACACTTTGGGAGGCCCAGACAGGAGGATCACTTGAGCCCAGGAGTTTGAGACCAGCCTATCGTGGCCCATTTGCAGGATGGAGGATGAACACAGAACATAAAACACAAATGCAGAACACACAAAAAAAGGCAGACACATGTACAAATGGTTGACTTGAGTAATAATACACTGGGTCAGTTTTATTTTTATACTCTAAAAAATTAAAGTTAGTTCCTTGTATGTAACTGCCCAGGCTTGGCAGCCATAGCCATAAAATTCCGGAATGCATAGCCTTAGGGAAGCAGATATCCCCTGACTCAGAATTTTAAGGTGGTTGCTCTGGGCACTAGGCATAGATAAAGGGCCGAGGTTAGCAAGGATGGGCAAGTTGAGCCACAGGGGGCATTTCTCATCCCTAGTTTCTCTTAGGGTGACCCCCTAAGATCTTTGGCTGAACCCCAGTGGCTGTGCATGGCTTAGGTCGCCCCTCCCTTGAGGGGTCTTACCTGTCATTGACTAACCAGCCATCTTATGGGGTGTTTATCATGTGGCCTCGAGACCCCCAATGCCGTGGGGCAGGGCTGCTCTTGCTAGTTGCAGCTCAGGTCCTTTGTTATGCCTCTAGGCAACACCTTTGTTTATCACTAGGAGCCTGTCTATTACTTTCAAACACTCTGGGCAGAACACGTACATTACTCACTAACTTTAATTCTTAAACTAGGAAAATATATGTCAGTTCTCTACACCAGCCTGAGGAACATAGCAAGACAAAAAAATAGAAAAATTAGCCAGGTGTGGTGATATGCACCTGTAGTCCCAGTTACTCAGGAGGCTGAGGCAGAGGATTGCTAGAGCCCAGGAGTTCAAGATTGCAGTAAGCTATGATGACACTACTGCAGTCTAGTCTGGGTGACAGAGCAAGACCCTATCTCTGTTAAAAAAAAATAGTTCAGGGGTTCAGGGCTGTCTCCTGGAACCTTAAGGCAGGAATTCAGTTGAGTCTCCTGTAGTTCTGCTACCTGGAAGTGTAGAAGTACACGCCCATGATGAGCTGGGTAGTTCCATTTCTTGACTCCGTTTCTCTCCATAGTCCCACTTCATTCTTTTCACTCTGCAAGCTGGCTTTCTTGGTTTTCCATGTCTGTGGTGGGCAGTCTCCATGTCTGTGGTGGGCAGATGATAGCTACCCTTTATTCTCTGATCAAAGGACCGGAATCTGAATGTCTCTCAGTTCTAATTCTGAATTTCAAGAAGAGAGAATGTGATTTACATATGAGGAAACAATAGCCTAGATTAAGGAATTTGCACAAGGTCACCATACTGGTAAGTGGTTGATGAGGCATTTTGACTCTAGTTCTGTCTGGATCTAAAACCTGGTCACCTTCCAGCAAAGCAAAATAAATGGCCACCAATCAGCTTTTCAGGAGCAACACTCCCTGCCTAGTTGACTCAATCTACTCTTGGCCTTGTAAGTCTGGATCTATCTTTAGGACACGCATTTCTTTCTTTGGTTTAATACAAGGAGTATCTCATCATTATAGAGTACTTGGCATGTTACAAAGACCTTCACATAATTATGTCATTTTATTTTTATGACAATCAAATGACATTAATAGGGCAGGGATTATTGACTCCTATTTTTCAGATAAGGAAATGGAGGTTCACAGGGTCAAGGTAACTAATTTGCTCCAGAAAAGAAGATTGAATTTCCTGTGAACTAGTTAATTAGGGGTAGAAGAAGGACCTTCTTAGGGCCAGGGATGGGGGTTGGGATAGGGTGGCAGCACTAAAAGATGATCAGTCAGAAGAGAAGCAAGGGTCACCTCCAAGTGGGCTGACAGGGATAGCTACAGATGACTTGATGCTGGGCTCTCTTGCCAGACTGGGGACTTCATGAAGCCAGATCTCTGTTTTCATTCATCTCTTTGTTCTCAGATTTATAGCACATGCTTCGTATACAGCAGACACTTGATGGATATTGAAGGTATATGAGACTTTTCTAAAAATAAAAACTATCCAATGTTGGCATGAGCTGCCTTGAAGAGCTGTATGATTCCTACCACTGGCAGAGTTTAAGAAAAGATGGATAAATATCTACTTGTATATATTAATAGCTAACATTTATTGAGTAATAACTATGTGCTGAGTACTGGGCTAAGTGCTTTACCTATATCATTTCACATATTCCTCATTCCAACCACATGAAATAGATTCTATTATTATCACAGATGTAATCTGTGATAAATCTATAAATAGATTTCTATTATTATTGAAACCGAGGCACAGAGAGGTGAAGTGACTTGCTCAAGAATCCATTGCAAGTAGTATGGCAAGGATTTGAACCCTGAAATACTGAGTTAGAGACCGGGATCTTAATCCTGTTGTCAAAGGGTTTCTTAAGTGAGACAGGAGTTCAAAGTAGATCATTTCCAAGTATTTTCAATACTTGAGATTCTCTGATTGTCTGGCCATAAGATTGGCACTACCATACAAAGAAAACTGGGAAGGAGAACTGGTTGTAGGATGTAGGGTAGAGAAGTTGGTAAAGAACAAGTTGATCTTGGTTATATTCAGTATGAAATGACAGAGGATATCTAAATGAAACAGTCCAATGATATTCAAACGAAACAGTCCAATGATATTCTTTATATTCACAAATGTGCTGTTGCCGTGAAAAGCCTTCCAACACAACATTTCACAAACACTGGCTGTGCTTATTATGGTACTTATGGCTCACCAGTACTTTTCTAACCCAGCCTCATATTGTGTTATTGCTAATCCCACAATGTTGTGGGATAAGCAACATTTCCTTTTCATAAGGCAATTGAACATAACTCTTGTCTTTAGTCAGAAATTTCATTAGAGAAAGTGTATGCAACTTCAAAACTGAAAACCACAAGGAAATGTCTCCTACGAAACGAAAAGAAAAAAAGGTTAACAAAATGTATTTTAAGGCTTAAAGAGTTCTACCTAAATTTGCCATTGTATCCCTTCTTAAACAAACATAGATCTCAAATTTAGCACATTGTATTACCACCATTCTTGGCAATGAAACAAAAATCACAAACATGTTAGGAAAACAATGCAAGCCAGAACATAGCAAGTGATGGTCCATTTTAAAAAAATTATCTGGCTGAATAACATTACTATTTGATGATACAGTTCTGCTACAGCCTTAGAAATATCAGAAAAATCGAAATCTGCAAACAATCATCAGGTAGTCAACAACTGAATGTCTCCTGTATATTGGTATTAGGGGTCAAGGGACACTGAAAAAGGGGGAATAAGGCAAGATTTTGCTCAGGTGGGCCTTTTCTAGCAGGACTGCATACAAAACCCATGACTCCTGGGAATAAACAGCCAGGTTACCATGTGGCCCAGGACAGCCAAGGGCAATCCTGGAATCAGATGGGCCTGAGTTTTAATCACAGACTCACTGTTTACCAAGGGTATGATCTTGGGGAAGTTGCAAAACTTCTCTGAGCTCATTTCTTCATCCACAAAATGGTAAGACTAATCTTTCCTGCATAGGGTTGCTGTAAGAATGACACGAGATGTGTGAATAGAGTCTAGAACAGCGACAGTGTAGACTTCCAATAAATGTTAGTCTCTTCCTTTCCCCCCAATTTAGTTCCTTTGCTTGTAAAATAACTGTTCAGATACAGAGGAAATTCACTCCCTCATTCAATTAAACACACACAGTTATTGTTAGGGGAAATACAAGAGTCATTTCCAAGTGGGCTGGGAGAGGACAGCCACAGGCCGTCCTTTGCTAGACTGGGGGCTTTGTGAGGCCAGATACTCTGTTTTCATCCATCTCCTTGTTCTCAGGTCTAAGCCCATGCTTGGTACATAGTAGACACTTGATGATTGTTTGGTGAAGGAATTTGAGGCTTTTCTAAAAATAGGCCTGGGCTTGGGCCACTGTGAACAGATGCATAGGTTGTTCCCTGCTAAAGGGAAATTGGCGGCTGAATTTCAGCCCATTAGCACTCATCAAGCTAGGTGTCTGCTTTTTCAAATTTGCACAAAGGTGCTAATTGTGTTCGCAAAGACCTGGTGGTGTGTGTAACACAAGCGACAAAGTTGGACTTTGCCCACATAGAGCTTGTGTCTGATGGGGAAACAGATAAGTAATCAAGAATTACAATATATATAATTAACGCTATTCTAAAGAAGACACTGTAGGAAGACAGAAAAGAGACATTTAAGTGAGACAAATTGAGGGCCCAGGATTTGTTACTTCAAGGGTGAGGGGAAGATTGTGGAGAAGGATATGCTAGACAGAGGAGTGACATTCAATTATTTACCCATTTATTTATTCAGTATATACTAATCAAATATCTACCAAGTGCCATGCACTGTTCCAGTATTGAAGATACAATAGTGAATAAAACAGACAGGATCTCTTTTCTTATAATTCTAACATTCTAGTAGGTAAGGAAGGCAAACATAATTGAACTAGAAAAGTATTAAGTAGCGAGGGGTAGTTTGGGAGAATAACATAGGCAGGGGGGTGGTGACGGTGGTGGTGGGTGGGGTGAGGATGTTACATTAGAATGGAGAGCAGGAAGGCCTCTCCAGGGAAGTGTCCTTCAAGCTTCAAGCTTCAAGGTCTGATGGCAATTGTAAGAAGCTGGGGATGATCATATCAGGGAGAGGGAGGAGTAGTTGCCAAAGTCTTAAAGGGGGAGTGAACTTTGTGTTTTTGAGTTGGCAAAGAAGACTGGAGTGTCTGAAGTTTAGTGGGTGAGAAGAGAGGCAGGAGATGAGATGGGGAGGTAGGCAGGTGCCAAAGCTAGGTGAGGCCCAGAAACTTGAGCCTGGTGAACTCAGATACCTGCCAGGAGTCTGATCTGGCAGAGGCGGAGGGACTGTGTTAGGGGATGAGGAGTGATTGGGAGACACAGGCAAAAACCAGATTCTGCCAAGTCCTATATGGAGGATCCGGGAGACATTACTTCTGCTTACTGCTATGCAAAGAATCCCAAAGAGGCCATGACTAAAGTCATTCAAAGAAAACTTTTCATGTTTATACTTTCAAGGAGGTTTTCAGTAGTGACTCTTATGTGTTACTTGTTCTCGAATCAAAGTCATTAACAGACACCATGAGAACTTAGAACTCTTCTCAGGTGTGCCTCAAAATTCTGATTAATGTGAAATTTATTTTAGCAACATTTGAGTATACTTACCATGATGGCAGTTTCTGTAGACGGGACATTAAACTAAGTTGTGTTTTGTAAGAGAATACATCTTCCTATGACTAAAAGGTAAGAGGCAGCACATAATGTCAAGTCGGTAACAAATATGTGTGATATTTATTAGAGCATGGGAGATTTGCCTCATGGTACAGGAGGCTGACATAGCTAGTCACATACTTTATGTCCATGATTTCCCCTTCATTGCCATCAACAAAACCTCAAGTTTGTTCACCAGTGAGTCCAACTAAAAATTCTTGTCTTCTAAACTTCCTTGCAGGTAAGGATCATCATGTGACACAGTCTGATCAATGGCAGACTGAAGGCAGGCAGAAGTCCCTGGGGAGGGACTTTTATTTTTAGTTCTGAATAAAAAAGGCAAAGTCTGGCTACTGAAAGCCCCTTTTCCTGTTTCCCCTTGTACTTCCCCTTCCTTCCTGGTATTTGTAATTATTTAGTGACACAATGTTTGGAGCCTTCTAATTTCTTTAAGTATGTTCCAAGACAATATGTGGAGATGAAGACCACTGTCCCATGAAAAGTATGGCTAAACCTTTCTGATACGTGTATTGCTCTAGAGCTAAACTGTAGGCATAAAACTACGGCACCCCTCAGAATTCATTATACTGAAAGCTATACTCCATGTATGTAATAATATGTAGTTTCTCCCTTTCCTTGATCCCGAAAAATCTAGTTAACAATTATTTCTTAAGTGTTCATTTAACATATACTATCATTACAAATGTAACACTTCTTTATGTGCCATGAGAGATACAGAAATGATGAAGACAAGGTTTTTGTTTTTGGGAAGCTGATAATTTCATGAGATGACAGATGTGTTTACAAATAAGTGTAAAAAAGTGTGTATATGATATGGTGGGCCATGGCGAGGGCGGCCTCAGAGAAGCCTCTAAGTGGACGTGAATGGATGTCAAAAGGCTCCAAATGCAGGCAAAGTGCACGTTTCAAGGCCTAGAACCCAGACGTTAGGCCTAAGAGATGAGGCTCACAGGGTAGCAAAATTATTGCCCTGTGTAGAGTATAAATTGTTTCTGGATGATAAAGAGCCTGGGGTTACAAAAGGTATTGAGTTTACAACTCTATGCTCCTGCAACCTGGAGACATATCGCTCCTTGTGGGCGGAGGGCAATGAACTGCAGATGTGCTTCTACCAGATACAAAGGAGCAACTGGATCCGCTAACCTGCATCCTTATGTAGTTTCCTGTACTTGCTACTTCAGGCTTAAAGTAAAAACAATCCTCAGCTGTTGTTCTTTAAATGGCATCTTTGAATAGGCTATATAGGGAGGTCCTAAGTGCCATTAGGGCATTACCATGGGTGTTAAGGAGTTATGACCAGGAAGAAACAATTCCAGCTGGAGGTTTCAGGAAGGTGGCAGCATTTGAACTAGCTCTTGAAAGATGGATATCCCTGCAGGCAATATGGTAAAAGAAAAAAAATTTTAAAAAGCTGGATAAAATTTCTTAAGTCACGTGAAGGTGAGAGGAAGGGCACTACAAGAACATGAAGCAATATGAATGATGAAGTGGAGGTAGGAGAACAGAGCTGTGTACTGGAAATGAAGAGCAGTCCAGTTTGGCCGAAGGACAAGGCATGTATGGGGAAGCAGTGGAAGACGAGGCTGGGAAGGGAGTCAGGGCCAGGCTAAGAGGGTTGGCATTTCATATATTACTAATAGGAACCATGGAATGTTTCTGAGCAACTGTTAAAGCAGGTGGATTAGTAAAAAGGGATACACAGATAAATCTGGCAGCATTACGGTGCATGAAACATGGGTGAAAAGACTGGGAGATCCCATAAAATCCCCAGAC